CAGGTAAAGGAGTATATCTATATAGGATAAGAAATCAGAGCTAACAGAGAAAATCAAACAGCCGAAATATCGAGACGACTAAGAATGGAATGGGCAGCGTTCGGCAAACCTTCTTACGTTCTAAAATATCAAACAATCCCCCTGTACTTACACAGGCCAATTTGGATAGGATAAGGAAGGCACAAAGAGCGATGGAGAGACAAATGTTGGGTATATTACTTAAAGATAGAAAACGTAACCAGTGTATCAGGACCAAAACAAAGACAGTAGACGCGATAGAACTAGCAGCAAAACTGAAATGGAAATGGGCTGGACAGAATGAACGTCTCCAAGACGGACGATGGAACAATGCCATCGGAAAGTGGCGTCCATACAATGCAAAGAGATCAAGAGGCAAACCACAGATGAGGTGAAAAGATGACATCAGAAAACAAGGAGTTCTCACATGGCAGAGAACAGCTCAAGAAAGGGAAAGAGAGAAGATGAAGAGAACTGGGAGAGACCTATATCCAACAATGGAAGGATAGAGAATAGGTTCAAAAAAAAAGAAGGAGGGGCGATATTTATTTGGGATGTGCAACTTGCCCAATCAGCATTTTTTTAGTCGCCAGTAGTTCCTAGACAGAGTTTGTTTAGTATTAGAAATATAAGATGATATGATGATAGTATAATGATTGCTGTCATAAAGATCATCAGTGGCTTTCCAAGTTAGTGCTGATTTGGGATTAATAAAGCTGAGATCTATTAAAGATAATGTCCTAGAGGAAAAATTTAGTGTTTATTAGAACCTTTATTTAATATGCATGAACCCGTAGAGTTTGTTTGGATCCCCACATGGAATTGTGGGCATTGAAATCGCCTACAAGAATGTATGGTGAGGGTAGCTGATAAATAAGGTCTAGAAGTTCTATTTCCTCTAGTTAGTGCCTGGGTGAAATATATACACTACAAATAGTAAGTTTATTGGGGCACCATGTGGTTATAGCGATAGCGATAATACGAAAATTGTTCAGTAGAAATAAAAATTGAAGTCCCACCAATGGCTCTATTGCAGTTAGTTCGAATATAATGTTAGTCTTCATTTTTTTTTTAATTTAAGAAGTTTGGATGTTTTGGAATTAATTGCTTGTAAACATATGATTTTAGGTTGTTTTTCGGCAACTAATTGCTGGATTCTTTCGAAGCGAGGAAATATTCCATCGCAATTGCGTTGTATTATTTTAAAATTAATTTTTAGTTGAGTGAGTGAGATACGGGCGACTGTGAAGATTGATGAGAACATTGAGAAATAGGAGCGTTGATTTCACCATCAGTTTGGTAATCGGACGAGGCACTCATATTGTCATAGTTGATAGAGTTAATAGAGAGATAAGTTGTCGATTAATATTTTTTAACCTAGTAATGCGGTTTTTAAAAGACCTTTCCTTTGTTTTTAATTACATAAATGTAATGTTTTAAATATTTTCCATAGGTTATTAATATACGTCTTAACACAAGAAAATAAACTTTGATGGTACACAAGGCAAATATCGAACACAGTATTTAATTAAATCTTGCCCAAGTACTTTCAATCACAAGATCATCCTCAGAGGCATTTCGTCAATTGTGGCCTATCCAATTTCCAGATCCAATCCAGATTCTGTCTCCGGCTTCTATAATATAAAAATGTAGCTTCTCCAATTTAAATTTTAAAGTGTTTGTTTGTCTTTAGTGTATTTGTTATGTCCCAGTTTACATGTATGACATTCGGTTATTGCTGGATAGGCCACAATTGACGAAATGCCCCTGAGGATGATCTTGTGATCGAAAGTACTTGGGCAAGATTTAATTAAATACTGTGTTCGATATTTGCCTTGTGTACCATCAAAGTTCATTTATTCGAACATTCAACCTTATATTGACAAAAAAATAAGTCTCGGACTATTGAGATAAATTTAGTAAAGTTATCTGGACCAGGCTTAGAAATGAACTGATGTTTCAAACAATTTAACTTTTGACATCTCCCTCGATGTTTGACTTATAGAGGTTGTTCCTACTGTAATAATATTATTATTAATTGAAGGGGTTGGAGCAGAAAGGGTATAACTGACATTTTTACATTTTTTGAGTTAAGTGCAGAAAATAATAATAGAGAGTGTGTTCTTTCGGAGCAAAAACGATATAAGCGTGTTTAGTTACACCTGGTGCCATCTATTAATTGGTAGAAAAACCTACTTAACAATTCCTGCATAGTTGTTGGAGCAGAACGGGTATAATATCGCTTATACCGTTTGTGCACTCAACATTTTCTAGTAGACTTTTTAACGTAGTTGTTGCAGCTAGTGTGTTTTCATTGAAGTTGTGTGTTTTCAAGGTTTTTGTGCACAGAGTTGATGTGCGTTATATAACCGAAATATATTTATTACCTTGTATTTTTAGAGATGACTAGTAGTAGCAAAAGGGGTAAGATCAAAATAAATAATCTCAGCTTTATTTTATGGTTATGTTCCTGTTTTTTCAAAAGCCTTTGAATCTGAGTTAGATTCTTATGAAACGGAAGAAGATGAAGACTATCGACCAGAAGACGATGATGTACATTACTCAGACGAATCTGAACAGTCAGAGTTCAGCAGTGCTAGCAAATCTACACATGTCATGCCAAGTAAAACAAGAAAACTAAACAGGAATATCGGCGCCTGGAAATGAAATGAAAAAAAGCAGTTAAGAACCGAAGGCAAGCAGTATGTAGAACACAAGAACGTCATCCATCCAAGTAAGGAATTAAGACCTTTTGATCATACATGCAGATTTAAGTATAACGAAATTATTTGGTAGACAGACAAGCTGTATTTGATAAATTTTATAAGCTTCCTAGTTACGACTTGCAAACAGCATATTTATCGTCTTGTATAAAAAAGGAGGAAGTTGCTAAGAGGAATTAAGGATCTACAAAACATCGAAATTTTTCTACAAAAACCATGCTAATAAATAAGCGAGTATGTAAAGCATTTTCCTCCAAACGTTTGATATTAATATTAGACGGTTTACTACAGTATGTGAAAAAACTGATAGATTTGGCATAACAGAGCCTGATAAAAGGGAAAAAAATGAAAGTGGTAACAAAGTTTACAAAAATACTCGAGAGACTGTAATTCAGCATATAAATATGTTCCCTATATAGGGAACGAAAATAATAAGCCAGTCGTTAAGATGAGTTACTATCGTAATGTTTTTAACAGTGAATTTAATTTGCGATTTCACAAGCCCCACACCGACACCTGCTCAAAGTGCGACAACTTGCAGAATATTGTAAAGAACTCTGGAAACGAAATTACTATTGAAAATGCTACAGTGTCTTTAGAGCTTCACCAAAAAAAGGCACAAAGGGCATGTAATATGAAAGAACTGGATATTAAAAGCAACAAAACTTCGAAGGATACTGTGGTAATATGTTTCGATCTACAGCAAACGTTGGCCACGCCATTACTTACTACATCAAAGGTGTTTTTTCTAAGGCAATTGTGGACGTACAATTTTTGGTCCATAATTTGCTCACTGGAGCAGGCCACATGTACACATGGGATAAAACTGTGTCTGGCAAAGGTTAACAGGAGATAAGAGAGATGCACAAGGCAAGAAGGGTCGTGCCTTGTGCATTTTTACAAATCCCTACCATTCACTGTTACTAAAGTAATAGCATACAGCGATTCGTGTGGGGGCCAAAATAAAAACAAAAATATTTGCAAGTTATTTATGTATTTAGTGAAAGCCAACCACATTAAAGAAATACATCACAAATTCGTTGACCCAGGTCACACTTGTATGGGATGTGACAATAATTTTGCTGTGATTGAAAAAAACAAAAGAAGAAATCCTCAAGTTTTTATTCCCGACCACTGAAGAAACGTAATCGCAAGTTCTTGCAAAAAATTTATAGTTCACAACATGACAAAGGAAATGTTTTTTTTTTTCGTTTAAAGGACTTAACCAGCTTATAAAAGATCCAAAAAAAGACACAGAAGGAAGACCTCTTAAATTTAGAGATATCGCATAGTTTGGATGTGCAAAAGACTTTGACTCATTTTTTTTTTAAATTTAAGCCAGTTTTAAATGATATCTGTACATTCCTAAAATGTTTATGCGAGTCCAACTTATTTGGACGGCCATCACTTTGTATTAGTGAAACTTTTACGCAACTTCACATAAGTTCAGTGCCAATTAAGCTTGAAAAATGGAAACATCTGCAAACTCTTTTGGATTATATACCTCCAGTGTACCATTCGTTCTATACGAATATGAAACACAAAGGTGCGGCGACAAAAAATAAAAATAAAAAAAGGATCACACATCAGAAGAAGCAATGGTGCCGGGACCGAGTGCAGTTGATCAAGTTACAGAGGAAAATGAAAACGAAGACGATGTGATCAGTTCTGACTACGATTAGTTTTTTGTTTTTGAACATTTAGTTGTAGATATTTCTATTGTATCGTAATGGTACTTCCAAAAATGTTCTGTTTATTAATAAAATTGATTTGAAACTTTTATTAATACTTTTTGTATTTATTTACTTTTACTTGCTTAAACTACATGAAAAAATCTGTGGGTACAAAATCGGTCTAAGTGCATCAAATTCAATTTTTTAACTGAATTAAACCCTTTATCAAATATATCATTTTATCAATATAAACATAATTTTACTTTAGAATTTTTAAACATTTTTTATTAAACTAACGGGTTGTACAGAATTTTAAAAATGCAAATTACTTTGGAAGTCATTTTCTCAAAACTAACTTAGACGTACTTATACCTTTTCTGTTCCAACCCCTTTCAATTCTGCTATACACACTAATCCTTAGTTTTCAAAGAAATTGTGCGCGCCTATGAACACTTCAAAGTTAAAGGAACCACACACAATTAAATAATAGATTCAATTACGACCGACAATCTTAAAAGCTTGTCATGAGCGCCTTCTTTATCTTTAATAACACGTGAAACATTTCATCCGAACATTTTCTTTTTAGGGGCCAAATTATGGACGCGAAGTTCCATCAAATCAGTACTTCGGAAAACAATGAAGGAACCAATAAGGCTGAGGTTCGAAGGATATGGAAAAATGTGCTGCTGATAAATTTAGCGTTTATGGTCCACTTTACGGCTTTCTGGGGAGCTTCAAATTTGCAAAGCTCCGTAAATGCCGAAGAAGCTTTAGGAACTTTTACGTTAGCAAGTATTTATGGCTCTTTACTGATCTCAAATATTTTGTTACCTGCCTTAGTCATTAAGTAAGTATAAGAAATTTGAAATATCATAAAAAATGCATGTTATTTAATATTACACAGACGTTTCATATCTCGTTTAAATTGAATAATGCCTAATGGTTTACGAATTGTTTTCATAACAAAGCTAATGTCAGTACATTAGTAAAACAGTTTAACTAAACTGGTCATCATCATCCTCAACTAGCCTCTAACGTCCACTGTGAACATAGGCCTCTCGCATGCTTTTCCACTTAGTCCGATTTTGCGCCATCTGGATCCAATTTGTAGTCACTATTTTTATGTCATCTGTCCATCTCGTTGGGGGTCGACCTCTATTTCTGTTAACTTGTATTCGGGATCTCCATTTCAAAATTCTTTTTGTCCACCGGTCATCAACTGATCTTGCTACATGACCTGCCCAGTTCCACTTGAGTGTTGTTATCTTTTCAATAACGTCTGCTACTCCTGATCTTTTGCGTATAGTAGTATTGGGTATTCTATCACGTAGAGAAATCCCTAACATAATTCTCTCCATTGCTCTTTCCGCAACTTGTAGTTTACTCACTGTTGTTCTTGTGAGCGTTAGGGTTTCTGCGCCGTAGGTCATCACTGGCAAAATACATTGATTAAATACTTTTCTTTTCAGACACATTGGAATCTTAGACCTAAAAATATCCTTCATCCTTCCAAATGCAGCCCAAGCGAGGTTTATTCTTCTTTTCAGCTTGATTGTTTGGTTGTCTCGACTTATTCTGATCTCATGGCCAAAGTATTTATAGGAGTCAACTAGCTCAATATCTTTGTCCTCTATTGAGATGTTTTTGTTGTAGACTTTGTGTTTTTGAAAAATTTATTTTAAGACCAACTCTTTTTGTGGCAGTAGGGAGTTCTTGGAGCATTATCTGTACCTGATCAAAGCTGTCTGCAATAAGGACGATACCATCTGCAAATTTAAGGTTATTTAAAAATTTTCCATCCACATTGATACCATTTTCGTTCCAATCTATTGTTTTACAAGCGTATTCTAGCAAAATTGTAAATAATTTAGGAGACATGTTATCTCCTTGCCGAACGCCTCTTTCAATACGAAAAGTCTCAGTATCTTCATTAAGTCTTACACAGGCTGTAGCATGTTGATAGATGTATCTGATGAGAGATATGTATCGGTGATCTATTCTACATTGTGTTGGAGCTTGGAGCATTTCACTTTGATTGACCGTATCAAATGCTTTTTCAAAGTCGAGAAAGACAAGTATCAGGGGTCCATTATATTCAATGGTTTTTTCAATTAACGACTTAATGGTTTGTAAATAATCTTTTGTTCCGTATCCAGCTCTAACTCCTGCTTGCTCACAAGCTTGATGGAAGTCTAGTTTTGATGTCAATATATTAGTTATTGTCTTCATAAACAACTGATAAACGTAAAATAACAAGCTAATAGGTCTATAGTTCTTTAGCTCTGTTATATCTCCCTTTTTGTGCATGACTACTATAACAGCTTTATTCCACTGAGATGGTGTAACCTCTTTTGAAAGTCATAAGTTATATAATTGTGTCAATGCTTTCAATACTGTCTTTCCTCCTGCTTTAACTGCCTTAATAACAATTTGGTCATCACCAGCTGCTTTATTGTTTTTCATTCGATTTAATGACTTTGACACTTCTTCGATTGTTATTTCTGGGATATCCTCTGAACACACATTCTGAACTTTTCTCAGCTTGGTGCCGACTTTCTTACCCCTTTCTCTATATAATTATGTGTAAAATTCTTCAACTACCTTAATTATCTTATCTTTATCTGTTACCACTTTTCCATTTCGATTTGCGAGCTTAACAATATTTTTCTTACCTAGAGCTTGACATCTCTTCAGCATCTTTAAACTTTTATTTTTCTCGACAACCGTTGTAATCTTTTTTTTGTTATGTTGTCGTACATCCTTTCTCACTGCTTTATTAATGCCTTTATTAAGTTGTTGTAGTATGCGTGTATTCGCATCGTTTTTGTTCTTAAGTTCTCTTCGTGCCCCCAGAAGTCTTTTTGTTTCTTGACTGATTTTTTCCTCCTTATCTCTTCTAGAATTTGTATTGCACTTTTTCTCTGAGTTCTTAATAGCTTCTATTAAGTTATCGTTTAAGGTTTTGACATCCATAACGTCTATATTTGTTGTCGCTAGACATTTCAGAATTTTCTCTTCGAAGAACATGATGTTTTCGATTGGATTCCATCCTATTGGGTGTGTTTTTGACGTTTTTGTTATCATTTTGCATCTTTGTTTTTGGAGATTTAGCACGATATTTGCTCTTACCATTCTATGATCACTTTCCACTGAACAGCTATTAAGAACTGTTACATCATAGATCATGTCTTTGTTGTTGGTTAAGACAAAATCAATTTCATTTTTGGTGACTCCACCTGGACTTGCCCACGTCCATTTTCTTTGGGGACTTTTTTTTTCAAAAATTCAAAAAGCTATTCAATGCGAAGAATCCATTTCGTACCAAGAAACCCAAAAACATTTCGCCTCTTTTATTTCTGTGTCTGAATCCGTAGAGACCTATTGCAACTTCGGTCCCGTCCAGTTTACATCCCAACTTAGCATTAAAGTCACCCATTATTAGGTTGTGTGTAGTAGGCGCTAGTTTTACTGCATTTTCTAGGTCTTTATAGCTGTAGATGTAGGTGCGTAGGCTTGAATTATTTTAAGCCTGTGGTAGTTCTGATCCTTGGTTGATATCTTCTCTGATATTTGCTTTGTGTTGACTTGGATATAGTAATTTGTGGAAGTCCTCCACTATTTTAAGGGTTTTCTCTCTGTTAGTTGTAAGATGACCATTTTTATCTTTAATCTGTATTATCTGCCTTGTCCCTGTTATTAGTATTTTTTTTAATAGTTTATACTTCTATTTTTCTTTTTCGAGTGTCTTATCCAAATTATGACGCAAAAAACCTGCAACAATTGAAGAGAAATTTAGATATTTATGCTTTTCTCTCTCCAATGGCATTTAGCAAGACAGAGCCAAATCAAATTTTGCGCGTCATCTGCTACTTAATTTTTCCAATTTTTCCATTGCATTATTTTTGGTCTTGTGCCCTGCAAAGCTCTGTTCATCAATCTGTTATTGTTCTTCTTCCTATGGTGCCACATCCAATTAGTGGATGTTGGCGACAATTCTGACATACTCTTGTCGATCTTGTGTGGCTCTAAAGAGTGCATGGGCATCGATGTTTGTCTAATCTCTTATAATTTATTATAATTTATAATTAAGAACTGGTACTTGGAATTTCGAAATTATTTTAATAATTATATTATAAATGTATTTAAGTGAGCCATGTGCATAGGCAACCAAATATACACTGAATTGACATTGTATTATTATGACATAAGTGAATTTGAACTAAATAAAGACATTTGAGTAATAATTGCGTATGTAAAATAGTGTTATGTGTTGATTTAAGACAGTTAAGCTACAAAGTGCTTCTCTTGTGCCAAATCGTTGTCTGAAACTAAACTGAGACTAATGTCTCTTTCTTTAGTGTGAATTATCTTATAAAAGAGTTTTAGGACCTGGCTCAATAAGCTGATCATTCTGAATTGGTCGCAACTATTAGCGTTTGGCTTTTTTGAGATTGGTATAAAGGTTGATTGAAGCCAATCCTGTGGTATTTGACCGGACCCATAAATGTCATTAAAAAGATCTACCAAGGCGTCTATATTGTCTTCACTCAACATTGTTAGAACCTCTATGTATATGCCATCTGGGCCTGGTATTTTTTCCCATTGACTCTGTTTGATTACCCTTACAACTTCTGACTGCAATATTTTGCTTTAACCAAACAGCAAAAGTCAGAGTTGACAGAGAACTTTCGGAGGAAGTAGAGATAAAAAGAGGCGTAAGGCAAGGTTGCATACTCTTCCCCTTATTGTTCAATCTATATTCGAAAGAAATATTTAAAAAAATCACTCGAAAATGTAACCATTGGAATAAAAGTTAACGGAAGACCCATCAACAAAATATCAGATATGCCGATGATACTATACTAATTGCAGAGAATATACAAGATCTACAGACATTTTTAGATAATGTAGTAAATGCTAGTGAGGAAAGCGGACTAACGCTTAATGCTAATAAAAAAAAATTTATGACAATTTTCAAAACACAACAAGAAGACAGTTTAAACATAAGAGGACTTCCAATAGAAAAAGTAAAAAAATAGAGATATCTTGGTACAATTATTAATGAAAATAACGAGTATACAGAAGAAATAAAACTGAGAATTGGACAAGCTAGAGCAACATTTAATAAGGTGAGAAAAGTATTATGCAGTAGAGACCTTAGTTTACAACTCAAAATAAGAATATTACGTTCTTATGTGTTTTTAATGCTGCTATATGGGGTGGAGGCCTGGACCTTAAAGAAAGAGGTGAGCGATCGACTCTGAGCATTCGAGATGTGGACCTACCGAAGAATATTAAAAATAAGTTGGGTAGACCGAATAACAAATGTTGAGGTCCTCAGAAAGATGACAAAGGAAATGGAAATCATGAATACGATTAAGATAAGAAAGTTACAGTATCTCGGCCACGTTATGAGAGGGGATAAATATGTGTTACTACAAACCATAATGCAGGAACAAATACAGGAAAAACGAAGTATTGGAAGAAGACGCATCTCCTGGCTCAACAATCTGAGAAAGTGGTATAATTGCAGTTCCGTCGACTTGTTCAGAGCTGCAATCTCAAAAGTGAAAATAGTTGTGATGGTTACCAACCTTCTTAGAGGAGATGGTACCTAAAGAAGAAGAAGGAGGTGTTATTCTTAATTCTTACTAAATGACCAGTCCATCAAAGTCTCTGAAGTTTAACTAATTCTGAGATCGGTGCTTCTTTGAGCAGTTGATAGAGTTCATGCGTGTACTTGGTTCTCCATACTCTGCTTCATTTAATAGGTCTAAAAATTTTGCTTAGGAATTTGATGTCAGAGGATTTCCAGTTTTTTTATGTTTTATCTCATCTGGGACATATATTTATGTCATAGAAGAAGGTCCACATATAAGTGGTAAACAAAAAAGGAACTTAAGAAAACATTACATAAAGACGATAACAGTATATGCTTAAAATATTGACATCAATCGAACAAGTCACATTAAAAACGGATAGAGTCATTTCTACATAAATGGAAGAAAAAAAAAGAAGTTTTCGACTGTCCATTAAAAGTTCCCTTTAATACAAAAGGGTCCAATTATTTTATCGCCTAGTATTTCAGCCGATACAATAGGTTTTCTGGATACTGGGTGTGGTATTCATACATCCAACGAGGATTTTTCGTGAGCAATATTTAAAATTATATCGAGTATTTAAAAGATTAGGATCGCTTGGATCATAACATTTTCTCATAATTACATCTGTAAGCTCTTCACGTATATCACAACCTTGAACCAACTTTGCTTGAAAAAAATTTATTATCACTTAGTTTCCAAAATAATTGAGGCGTTTCACACTAAACACCAACTCAGTATGTGAAAAAAATTTAAAATAAATTCTAAATCCTTCACGCGTTTTGTTCATTTTATGTTTTATCTCAACTTTGTACTGTTTTTAGATGGTTGGGTGCAAAAAGAACAATAGCAGTAAGCTTTATAATGTACATGCCGTTCATACTCGCCCAATTTCATCCAGCATTTTATACATTAATACCAGCTGGTCTCGCTGTAGGCTTCGGAGGAGGACCTTTGTGGTGTGCGAAATGTACCTATCTGACAATAATCTCGGAAAGCTACGCCCAAATCACTGATGTAGAAGCAGAAGGTGTAATTACGAGATTTTTTGGAATATTTTTTATGTTTTTTTCGTTTTCGCAAGTCTGGGGTAACTTGATCAGTTCAGCAGGTAATGTATAATAGATTAATTAGGTATTCATTGTCACATCAACAGTATTGCCATCCTAACTGACACTATAATAGAATCTATAGAGGAAAGCCAGAAGATACATTGCCATAAGAAATTATATAATAAAGCAATGAGTCACTAAACACAAGCATTAATTGAAGAGAGGAGAAAAATGAAAAGTAATAGAAGAAAAGAGCATCATAAACTTAAAGGATATAAATAAAAGAATACGAAAATAACAAGAGACTCCAAGTTCTCAGGAGAACATTACAAATGGCCAAAAAAAATTAAAGAATAAAGATGCAAATATTACTTAAGGTAATAAAACTGAGCGGTTGCCAGTATAAGCAATCCGCCACTTACTGACCAACGGCTTCGGGCGGATGAGTTGGTAAGTGGTAGAGCACTTTTTTGTCCTGAGGTTGTGAAATAGGCCTCGAAGGGGGATGAACCAAAAATTTGGTTAACGGCATAAGGATGGAGAAGCACAAGTAAGATAAACACTCCATTAAAGATCCACAGCGATACGCCTTCAATATGCTCAATGCTCAATACTAAAATAAATTCCGGAGTAAGTCCTCCGATCGGGTCTCCGGGGAGGACAGTTTTGAGTTTACCAAATGATAATAAATTGAAGTGCAAAAAGAATATCAAGATCTGCACATGGAATTTCAAAACTTTATACAAAGTAGGAAAAATTCACAATACAATACAGGAGATGAAGAGAATGAATATTGAAATCATGTAAATAGCAGAAATGAGATGGTCAGCTTCTGCAGAAATATGAATAGAAGATCACAAGGTATATTACTCGGTAAAAAGTAATGGATTCATACTATAAGCAGAAACCAATCCTATTAATATAAACATCATTCAAATCTATGCTCCTACTGCAAACAAAGAGGAGGAAGAACCAATTGAGTTCTATCAGAACACCAACAGTATCATACAGAAAATTTCTCGACAAGAAGGTCTCATCATTATGGGAGATTTTATTGCCAAGATTGGAGCTGGAGATAAGACACACTATATTAGTATTAGTACATTAGAGCACATATTACATTAGAGAACTAATTGTCACCAAGACATTCTTCCAATTACCATCTCGCAATCTATACACGAGGAAATCCCCTAAAGACAAACTTGGGAAAATTATTAGGAATTAAATAGACTACATTTTAGTATATAAAAGATTCAGAAAAGCTTTATATCTGACAAGATTTATCCTGGAGCAGATTTGGAGATAGACCACGTTCCACTAATGGGAGTATTTCGAGTCAAACTCAAAACAGTACAGAAAAGAAAAGCACAATCATACGACCTACGTATGCTGAAAAACCTTGATACAAGTATGAGCATATTACAGAAATGGTGCAAAATGTAAAGGATAAATACTTAAAGACAGATAGATTAATAAAGAAAAAATCATGGATGACAGATGAGATCCTAAACTAATGAATCAGAGAAGAGAAGCCAAAAATGACCCACACAAATATAAAACTATATAAATATATTATTAAGAACTAAAATCAGAGAAGCGAAAGAAAAAAAAAAGCATGGGAAAGATGCGAAGTAATTGAGACTCTGCAGTCAAAGTACGACAGTTACAATGTACATAGGAAAGTTAAAGAACTTACAGGAGGACTAAGACCAAGGCAGAAAGGAAATATAACTGATTCTGATGAAAACATCATCTTGGACAATCAGAGTAACATAAGAGCATGGAAAGAATATCTAGAAAAATTATTTGAAGATCAAAGAGGTAATACTTTTGAGCTAGCAGAAGAGGTCAAATACCGTAAAACCCATAGACGAATAAGAGCTGAGATAAGAAAAACTGAAGAGAAATGGTTCTCGGGGAGATGCGAAGAAATCCAACAGTGCGAAAAGGTATACGACTATCACAATATGCATAAGAAGATAAAGGAACTCACACTAAAGAAAAGCTACAATATTTTATCGAAAGGGCTGTGCGACGATAATGGAAATCTACAACTAGACCCTGACAAAATAGTTAGAATCTGGTAAACTTATGTGGAACAACTGTTTAATGATGACCGTCCTAGTGGGTGTACACTGAGCAATGATGATACTGGCCCTTCTATTCTAAAATCAGAAGTGGAGAATGCTATAAAGGGTCTTAAAAATAACAAAAGATCAGGCAACGATAACGTATACGGGGAAGTATTGAAAATGCTGTGCGAAACAAACAGTCAATTTCTAGACTCACTCGTCAGACTCTTTAACAATAGTTATAACAGCGGGGAGTTTCCTGAAGACTGGCTAGAGTCACCTTTGGTTGCCATACCGAAAAAACAAAAAGCAAAGTCTTGTGATCAACATCGGATGATAAGTCTAATTAACCACATATCGAAGGCATACACCAAGGTTATTTACAACAGAATAAGCAAAAAATGCGAGGATAACATTGGAGATTCGCAGTTTGGGTTTCGAAATTCTCTTGGGACAAGAGAAGCACTTTTTAGTCTACAGGTACTTATCCAGCGCTGCAGAGATATGAATAAAGGCGTGTACATATGTTTTATAGACTACGCAAAAGCATTCGATAACGTAAAGCACGAAAAGATAATTGAAGTTATCCATAAGATCGGAGTCGACTACAGCGACATTCGAACAATAGTGACTCTCTATTGGGGTCAAATAGCTAAAGTGAAAGTAGGATCTACATTGACCAATAAAATTGACCCAAGAAAGAGGTACGACAGGGCTGTATCTTGTCTCCTATTCTCTTTAATATATACTTAGAAGAAGTATTTAAGCCAGCGCTGGAGGAAAGCACAGACGGCATAAAGATAAATGGAGAAATAATTAATAACATAAGGTATGCTAATGACACTCTGATTCTAGCAAGTAGCATGGAGGAACTGAGTTGCCTAATGAGTTAAATACAAAAAAAAGTGCACAATACAGAGTCAGACTAAATATCACAATAAACAGACTAAATAAACACAAAAATGAAAGAAGTGAACACGTGGATTCGCACATTTACTTGGTAACAACAGTTAACTCAAATTGGGATCAAGCGAAGGAAATACATATAAGAGTAGAAAAGGCAAGAGCATCGTTCACTAGCATGAAGCAAATGTTCACCTCTAAAAGCCTCACCCTACCTCTCAAAATTCGACTTCTGAAATGTTATGTATTTCCGGTTTTGTTATATGAAATGGAGGCGTGGACAATGACCGCAACATTTATGAAAAAAGTAGAGGCCTTCAAAATGTGGGCTAACCAATGTATATTACGTAGACCAACGTGACCAACGAATAGGTACTACGCCGGATAGGTAAAGAGAGAGAGAGGTAGGAATAAGTATAAAGAAAAGAAAGTTGGAATACTTGGGTCACGTTATGAGACATAATAAATATAGAGTACTACAGCTGATCGTTTAAGGGAAAATAGACAGCAGACGGGGTCCAGGGAGGAGAAGACACTCGTGGCTCCAAAACTTGCGGCAATGGTTCGGATTGTCATCTGCTGAACTATTCAGATCTGCCGTAAACAAAGTCAGAATAGCCATGTTGATTGCCAACGTTCGGAACGGACAAGGCACATAAAGAAGAAAAAGAAGAGGTAAATGATGGAACAAGAATATTACAGCAGGAAGTTTATTCCGCATTAACATAGTTAAAAGATGGCAAATCGATGGGCCCTTATAATTATACACTTTCAAAAAAACCAGGAGCCAAAAAATGCGAAGATTACCGTACTATAAGCCTCATAAGTGATCTCTTAAAATTGTTCCTAAAGATAATTCATAAAAGATTCTACAAGCTGTGTGAGAGTCAAATTTCCCCCAACCCGTTCAAGTCCACAAATGCTGTTGGTGCTAGAGAGGCTTTGTTCTCAGTACAAGTCTTATTCCAGAGATAAAGAGACGTCAACTGCGACGTATACGCATGTCTGGTTGATAACGAAAAAGTATTTGATCGAGTACATCACGCAAAAAGATACAAATACTAAAAGAAACAGTAATTAACAACCAAGATCTGCAAATAATTAGAAATCTTTACTGTAATCAGACAGCAAATCTCAGAGTTGAAGGTGAACACACTGACTATGTGAAAATCATGTGTGGAGTGAGGCAAGATATGCAGATGATATCATAGTATTTGCGGACAACTTAGAAGACCTACAAGTTCTTATGAACAAAATCGCGTATTACAGACAACAATATCGACTTAACATAAACGTTAAGAAGACAAAGCTTATGATAATTACCAAGAAAAGGATAACAGAAGGTCAAGTCTACGACAACCAATCACCTGTAGAAAGAGTGACGCAGTACAATTACCTCGGCACCATAATAAATGAAGAATGGACCCACAACCAGGAAATTAGAGCACGCATCGGAAAAGCTAGATCCACCTTCAATCGGATAAGGGCCTTTTTTAAGAGTCATAACCTCTCTCTTGATACAAAAGTAAGAATGCTGCGATGCTACGTCTTCTCTGTCGTTTTTTATGGTGTTGAATCGTGGATCTTGAACAAAGTTATGCGCAGAAAACTGAAAGCATTTGAGATATGGCTATATCGGAGAATACTTAAGATCCTGTAAACTGACTAAGTCACAAATGAGAAGGTTCTCAGAAAAATGAATAAGAACCGAGAGATACTGACCACCATCAAATCTCGAAAGTTTCAATTCTTCGGACATATAAGGCGAAATGAATCCAGATATGCTCTACATCAAGCTATCCTGCAAGGAAAAATGTTTGGAAAACAAGGTCCAGAAAAAAGAAGAACATCTCGGTTAAAGAACCTTAAAATCTGGTTCAATACAACATATGTGCAGGTTTTCCTCGCTGCTGCAGATAATATATAGATTGCTATGATGATCGCCAACATTCGTAACGGATAGGCACATCAAGAAAAAGAAGAATAAAAGATTTTTATACAAAATTATTCAGAAGTCAACAAAAACATGATGAGCAGCTAACAAAAAAATTGGAAAACGCAGGAAAAGAAAAAGTTAGGTTAGGCTAGGTATCGCAAACGTTTTCTGAATTAAAATTAGATATTCGACATGTTTTCTTTACTATAGAGTTTGGCATTTGGTAAATTTTGAATAGTTATAAATCTAAATATAAGGCAATTTTGCGGTACTAAACACGTTTTAATGAGCCATCGAGGAAAAACATAATCAGAGCAAGTCTTTTGACCTAAGCCTTCTTTGAATATAGGGTCTCCATGTAAATATAGCCCATCAATTTTGTATCATGTACTGGAAGATTAAATTGTATATTTATTATATAACACTCATCATCATCATCAACTAGCCTCTAACGTCCACTGCTGAACCTAGGCCTCTCGCATGCTTTTCCACTTAGTCCGATTTTGCGCCATCTGAATCCAATTTGTACTCACTCTTTTTATGTCATTTGTCCATCTCATTGAAGGTCAACCTCTATTTCTGTTAGCGTCTGTTTGAGGTCTACATTCCAAAATTCTTTTTGTCCAACGGTCAACAACTGATCTTACTACATGACCTGCCCAGTTCCACTTAAGTTGTTATCCTTTCAATAACCTCTGCTACTCCTGATCTTTTGCGTATAGTAGCATTGGGTATTTTATCACGTAGAGAAATCCCTAACATTATTCTCTTCATTGCCCTTTCCGCAACTTGTAGTTAACTCAATGTTGTTCTTATAAGTGTTAGGGTTTCTGCGTCGTAGGTTATCACTGGCAAAATACACGTTACAAATACATTGAATACGTTTATTTTCAGACACATTGGAATCTTTAACCTAAAAATATCCTTCATCTTTCTAAATGCAGCCCAAGCGAGGTTTATTCTTCTTTTCAGCTCGATTGTTTTATTATCTCGACTTGTTTTGATCTTATGGCCAAAGTATTTATAGGAGTCAACTGGCTCAATATCTTGTGGATTAAATTTGTCATAAATTGTGTTTTTGAAAAATTTATTTTAAGAAAAACTCTTTTTGTGGTAGTTTGGAGTTCTTGGAGCATTATATGTGCTAATTAAAGCAGTCTGCAATAAGAACGATATCATCAGCAAATTTAAGGTTATTTAAAAATTTTCCATCTACATTGATGCCCTTTTCGTTCCAATCTATTGTTTTACAAGCATATTCTAGCAAAGTTGTAAATAATTTAGGAGACATGTTATCTCCTTGCCGAGCACCTCTTTCAATACAAAAGGTCCCAGTATCTTCATTAAGTCTTACACAGGCTGTAGCATGCTGATAGATGTATCTAATAAGAGATATGTATCGGTGATCTATTCTACATTGTGTTAGAGCTTGGAGCATTTCACTTTGATTAACCGTATCAAATGTTTTTTTAAAGTCGACAAAGACAAGTATCAGGGGTCTATTATATTCAATGGTTTTTTCAATTAACGACTTAATGGTTTGCAAATTATCATTTGTTCCGTATCCAACTCTAAATCCTGCTTACTCATAAGGTTGATAGAAGTTTAGTTTTGATGTCAATATATCAGTTATTATCTTCATAAACAACTTATAAACGTGAGATAACAAGCAAATAGGTCTATAGGTCTCTAGCTCCGTTATATCTCCCTTTTTGTGCATGACCACTATAACAGCTTTATTCCACTGAGATGGCGTAACCTCTTTTGAAAGGCATAAGTTATATAATTGTGTCAATGCGTTCAATACTGTCTTTCCTTCTGCGTTAACTGCCTCAATAACGATTTGGTCATCACCAGGTGTTTTATTGTTTTTCATTCGATTTATTAACTTTAAGACTTGTACGATTGTTATTTCTGGGATATCCTTTGAACCCACATTCTGGACTTTTCTCAACTTGGTGCCGTCTTTCTTACCCCTTTCTCTATATAATTCTGTGTAAAATTCTTTAACTACCTTAATTATCTTATCTTTATCTGTTACCACTTTTCCATATTTATCTGCGAGTTTAACAATATTCTTCTTACCTAGAGCTTGACATCTCTTCAGCACCTTTAAACTTTAATTTTTCTCGACAACCGTTTTAATCTTTTTTGTGTTATATTGTCGTACGTCCTTTCTCATTGCTTTATTAATATCTTTATTAAGTTGTTGTAGAACGCGTGCATTAGTATCGTTTTTGTTCATAAGTTCTCTTCGTGCCTCCATAAGTCTTTTTGTTTCCTGACTGATTTTTTCCTCCTTATCTCTCCTAGGATTTATATTGTACTTTTTCTCTGCATTTTTAGTAGCAGATCTTAATATTAAGATTATATAACACTACTTTATGGTAAATAATAACCTGTATAATTAATTTTTAGTACTTTCATCTGGAAATAGCGAATCTCCTTCACCACCCTCAACGAGCTCCGAAGCTTTGACTGCGAAAAGCTTGTTTATAAATGCAACAAAAGCCGTACAGAAAACTGATAACGATCTCGGGGAAATATGTGGAGCAAATTTTTGTCCTGGTTACGCTTCTGCCGAAGCCGTTCCAAATCTGGCTCCACCACCTGCGTATAAAATCAATCTGATAGCAGCGATTTACTTCTTTTGCATGGTGGCTGCTGTCCTCATTGTTACCTTTGGAGTGGACAAAATGTCAAGGTAAAGATAATAGCAAAAGTAGACAAGATTTGGGTAATTAATAAAATTTGAATGAAAACAAAAATTATGACCGGATAATCTACGGAAGAAACTGACTATAAATAAAAAAATATTTTTTCTTTAAACATCAAATAATGATGACATTACTTATCTAACTTGATCCTGTCAGAGTTTGATGTCTCCGCCAGCAGCAATTTTTTTTCCCATTTCTTTACGGCGGAGGGAAAAATGTTGTCATGGCAACAATATGAAACATGTCACAAAGCAACAATACAAATGTCATTAACAACAATTACACATCATTTTTATTTATAGTAATATTAAAAGTACAATTAGTTAATGAGGCATTTTCAAAATTGAAACCGTGCAAAAATGTTAACGACTCTTGATACGCATTGGTAATTGTTGATGATACTGATGGTCGAGAACAACTTTCAGCAATCATTCCCGATGTTGGCGAATCATGAGGGTTTAAAATTTTTTGAGCATTCTAGATTTCCGCCTCCATCAATTAAAAGTGTTGCTGAAGTTCGTCGTAAAGAGTGACCCGTGTATGCGCTTGCATCGTTTAAATTTAAATAACTAGCTACTTTTTGGGCTACTGCGCTGATCGAATGTATTCCCATGACGCTTCGGTAACACTTTCCATTTTGGTACTTGATAAAAAATCGGTTTTCTGTGAAATTTTCAGGCCGCAGTGATGCATACTTTTTATACAGTTTAATGTAGTTTTGACCAATTATCGTAAACGATCTAATTTGTCGTGTTTTACTGTCTGGGATTTTGATAATTACCTATTACATTTTCTTTATCCTTAATGTCCACAGTCATCATTTTTACCATTTCGTCGCATCGACAGGCGCCGATAACTTCAATTAACAAAACAATCTGAAATATTTTTATAATTTAGTAGAGTATACTACATGCTTTGTAATATAATTTTTTTTACCTTTAATCCTAAATACAACTTATCTGGCGCTTCAAACAAAAATTTATCAAACTCGTCTTTAGTGAAAACTTTAGACTTCCTTGCAGTATATCCTTAGCTTGTTTTTTTTTTTTTCAGAAAGGCACGTAACTTTAAAAATTTGCTTATATCCACATTTTATCTAATAACTAACTCGGATTTTATCATAGGGTATCGTGACCACATTGTAGAAGATTTCCATATATTTTCATTTTCCATTATATTAAAATATGCCAGTAAAACGTTTTCGGTAACTTGCCGTACTCCTCTTGTATCGCACCTCTCTTGGAAGTGCTTGTACGCTCACCGATACTTTATTCCGGACTTTTTTTTTTTAATGGCATTGGCATTAGTTATTCAGCCAGTTTCAATAGATTCTCAGATTCTCCAATCAGACAAATGCACAACTCTATCACTAATACAAAACTAACGGATAATTAATAGAAGAATATAATACGACAAGTAAACTTACAGGGTCACTTGCTTCTCGTCTAGGGGCCCATCAAGACATTCTTAGTAGACAAACAAAACTGGACCACGGATAAGGTGTTATAACATTTAGGTTAAACAAAGGATACAAATCTAAATTTCTACACGATCAAGAAAAATTTCATGCTCGCGTACAAATTCTATAGAACCGTGCATGTGTCTGACAAGAAATCTATAATGATATTATATATATTTTGTGAGCCTGTCGCCAGTAGCGACTGAATATTGAATGGTGCATACATATTAAATTTGATTAATTTTTTGAAGAGAGAGTTTGAATGCTGTTGAAACTTAGGGCATTCAAAAAAGATGTGATCAAGATCACCTTATTCCGGACTTGGAGGGCCCCAAACGTGCTACTGCATTATTAGCCGCGGACTCAATTTCGTTTAGGTTTTCCATTTTCGTACTAAATTTGCGCTTGCGGTTGCAACAACAATAAGCTGTCTTTAATAATTGCAAACAACTGTCAAACAACTGTAACCAGGGAGACGCAAACCCCACCGACGACTTAATTATTTTAATTTCTAACATCTAGACGACTTTGATAGTTGTCACAGTTAATTTCGAGTAAAAATAGCGTATGAATTATACTATTTATGGTTGAAAATTGCTACGTTTGAAGAAAAAATAGTATACTTTATTCGGCAAAGAAGCGACTTTTCTTGACTTGCCCTCTATTACGCCCCTAACTTCGTTCGGCGCGTAATATCGGGCTCGTCAAGAAAAGTCATTCTTTTCCGCCTCATAAAGTAATATACTATTATAATATCTAATGCGCTGATTTCTTGACTAATCTGTTTTAACATTTTAGATACCGGAAGGGAAGAAAAATTGTCGAAAACAAAATTACTGGATGGAATCTTCTTATTGTTACCTTAAAACACGCCAAGAAACCTCTTCAATTATTGATGTTGCCCATAACAATGTTGATTGGCGCTGAACAAGCGTTTCTGGCTGCAGATTTCACTTCAGTAAGTAAAGTTTAATACAAGTTTATGAAAATGTTTCTTTACAACTGACGATCTCTCTCGTGTTCCCGAATTACTGGTCATCAACGTTTTCGTCAAGGTTAGACGTGGTAAGTCCCCTCCTAAATGTGTATTCACGGTTGCCAATTTAGTAGATTTTCTACTATACTACGTTCCACGTTTAGAAAATAACATTGCGGAGATAGGGCCATGTATTTCTTATGGACGATAGCAACGCGGCGTTGCCACGACACACACAAGCACAATTTAGGGTTGTATAATTTGTATTTTTGGTTCCGCAAACATGAATTAAATTAATGTTTTTTAACGTAATTGACCGAAAGTGTCCATTCGAAACAAGAGATGAAAAGTAGGGAAAATGATTTTAATTAGATAAATAGTATTTACAAAAGATAATTTTATTTTATCTTATTTTAATTATAGTAACGACAGTTTATTTGTTTTTCGGTGAGAATACGATATGCCATGAATCATAGAAATTAGTAGAAAATATTGACCGCTTAGAATGCGTATATCTAATTACTAATTGTTATATACTTGGCAACACATGTAGGCAACACCGCTCAGGTTAGGTCTAACCAAGTAACTTCAGTTTGCTCAGTTCAAGAAATTTTTAAGATTAGTACTGTAAATTCAAAAGACAAATTTTTTATAAACTTAAGAGTAAACAACAATATTTTAAAATATGAAATTGATTCAGGTGCTGCTGTTACCATTGTAAACAAAAATGTATTTGACACATATTTTTCTACACTACAATTACAGAAATCTGATGTAAAATTAACTACATACTGTAAAAATTATTTAAATGTTTTACGGTTAACTCCAGTGGAGGTTGAGCACCAGGGAATAAGGCAAATGTTAAAGTTGTATGTGGTGGATGGTGAGGGTCAATCACTAGTTGGAAGAGAATGGATACGTGCCCTTGGAATTAAACTACATGAGGTAAATACAATATCACATGAGAACTCTAAAGTCTCAAGTTTATTAGATAAATACAAACATTTGTTTGAAAAGTCAATTGGTGAAATTATAGGTTTAGAAGCTGAAATTCATTTAAAACCTGGTAGTATAGCAAGGTTTCATAAGGCTCGCCCAGTTGCTTTTGCATTACGTCCTAAAGTGGAAGCTGAGTTAGAGTTGTTAGTTGATCAGGGTGTTTTACAAAAAGTAGAGTTTTCAGATTGGGCAACCCCAATTGTCCCAGTTGTCAAACACAATGGGGACATACGCATTTGTGGGGATTTTAAAATTACTTTAAATCCCTGTATTGAAGTGGACGAATATCCTTTACCTACCCCTGATGATCTTCTATCTCAGTTAGCAGGGGGCGATAAGTATTCAAAAATAGACATTACAAAAGCTTATTTGCATTTACCTATAAAAAGTGAAATGAAACATTTACTTACACTTAATACTCACAAAGGTCTGTACCGCCCAAACCGTTTAATGTTCGGTATTGCAAGTGCTCCTGCCAAATGGCAACGTTTAATGGAACAAATGTTACAAGGAATCGATGGTATTTCTGTGTTCCTAGATGATATAAGAATTACTGCCCCAAATACTGATATACATTTACAAAGACTTGAACAAGTGTTACAAAAATTATCTGAACATAATTTACATATAAATTTAGACAAAAGTGAATTTTTAAAAGACGAAATTGAATACTGCGGATACAAAATAAATAAATTTGGTATTACTAGTAGCTCAGATAAAGTAGATGCAATTGTAAATGCTCCAATACCAGAAAATAAAACTCAAGTCCGAAGTTTTTGTGGGTTGGTTAATTATTACAGACGTTTTTTACAACATACCTCTACAATATTAAAACCTTCTTAAAAATCATGTTGAATTTGAATGGTCCCGAGATTGTCAAATGGCATTCGATAAAGCCAAAAGGCTTATTTCTTCTAAAAATGTTTTGTGTCACTACGACCCAAATTTGCCATTAGTCCTTGCAACTGATGCATCCCCTTATGGTGTTGGTGCAGTACTGTCTCATATTTTTTCGGTACAGAAAGACCGATACAATTTGCTTCTCAAATGTTAACCCTTACACAGCAAAAGTACTCTCAAATAGATAAAGAGGCATACAGCATTATTTTTGGTGTGAAAAAGTTCTTCAATTACCTATATGCTAGAAATTTTATTTTATACACTGAACATAAACCTTTAGTTCAGATTTTTGCACCAGATAAAAGTCTACCAGTTTTAAGTGCTACAAGAATGCAGCATTATGCAATTTTCTTACAAGTCCTAAAGTATGATATTCGATACAAAAATACAGATTCTCATTTTAATGCAGATGCTCTTTCACGTTTACCTATTAAAAATGAACAAAATTATACTCATGATGAACCAGACATATTCGAACTTAATCAGATTGAAAATTTACCTACAGATGTTAACAGTTTATCTTTTCATACCAAAAATGATGCTACTTTACAAAAGTTACTATTAGGTTTACAAACTGGTGAGGTTGTTGAAAAACAATTCAGATTTAACGTAGATCAATCAGAATTTTCACTACAGTCTGGAGTCATAATGAGAGGACAACGAGTTTTAATACCTATGAAATTAAGAAATAAAATTCTGCATGAATTACACACTGCGCATTTTGGTATGGTGAGAATGAAGTCTTTAGCCCGGAGTTACTGCTGGTGGCCTTTCATAGACAAGGATATTGAATCTTTATGTAAAAATTGTTTTCATTGCAACAAGCACAAAAACAATCCTGTTAAGGACAATTCCCACATCTGGGAAACACCTAAATTTTGCTTTGAAAGAGTACATGCTGACTATGTCACCGCGGGGTAATTAATAGGGGTCTAAACGCCATCTAATGCCTCCGGGTGCTCTGTAGAGGGCTTCGGAAACGTCGACGAAAGCCCCTCTACTTGAATCCATTTGCGGGGTATGGATTCGTAAATGTTTTCTTCTGGTATCTTGCCTTGAAAAAGGCAAGATATTTCTTACATGACAAAGGTAAAGTCGAAATAAAAATACCAGGTTGCAGTAGAATAACATCTCAGCCACAGAGTATGGAAAAATCTAAAAACAAGAAAGCAGAGCCCCGAGAGCACTAAGCTTTCGGAGAGCCCGTGAAGGACTGACTTCATTGACCTGAAAATCGCCTATTTTTATACTTTCTGAAGTAGCGATTAGGGATTTCCAGGTCAGGGAGGAGCCAACGGGAAAAATAAGGGGCGGGGCGATGCGTCTCGAACGTGAACTAGTCGCGTCCGAGAACATCCCCCTCCTCTGGAGACTCTGTGGCCGGGAAAAAATTTATTAAATATCAAATAAAAATACATGTGAAAAATACATGTGAAAAATACATGTGAAAAATACATGTGAAAAATACATGTGAAAAATACATGTGAAAAATACACAATAAAAATACATAAAAATGTACAAGAAAAATTAAATGTTAATAAAAGTTCAAAAATTCACAGCACTGCACTACTTACAGGGGAGGTCGATGGTATGGTGAGAATGAAGTCTTTAGCCCGGAGTTACTGCTGGTGGCCTTTCATAGACAAGGATATTGAATCTTTATGTAAAAATTGTTTTCATTGCAACAAGCACAAAAACAATCCTGTTAAGGACAATTCCCACATCTGGGAAACACCTAAATTTTGCTTTGAAAGAGTACATGCTGACTATGTCACCGCGGGGTAATTAATAGGGGTCTAAACGCCATCTAATGCCTCCGGGTGCTCTGTAGAGGGCTTCGGAAACGTCGACGAAAGCCCCTCTACTTGAATCCATTTGCGGGGTATGGATTCGTAAATGTTTTCTTCTGGTATCTTGCCTTGAAAAAGGCAAGATATTTCTTACATGACAAAGGTAAAGTCGAAATAAAAATACCAGGTTGCAGTAGAATAACATCTCAGCCACAGAGTATGGAAAAATCTAAAAACAAGAAAGCAGAGCCCCGAGAGCACTAAGCTTTCGGAGAGCCCGTGAAGGACTGACTTCATTGACCTGAAAATCGCCTATTTTTATACTTTCTGAAGTAGCGATTAGGGATTTCCAGGTCAGGGAGGAGCCAACGAGAAAAATAAGGGGCGGGGCGATGCGTCTCGAACGTGAACTAGTCGCGTCCGAGAACATCCCCCCTCCTCTGGAGACTCTGTGGCCGGGAAAAAATTTATTAAATATCAAATAAAAATACATGTGAAAAATACATGTGAAAAATACATGTGAAAAATACATGTGAAAAATACATGTGAAAAATACATGTGAAAAATACATGTGAAAAATACACAATAAAAATACATAAAAATGTACAAGAAAAATTAAATGTTAATAAAAGTTCAAAAATTCACAGCACTGCACTACTTACAGGGGAGGTCGATGGTGATGACGGCATCTCAAACTCCTGCAGGTCCATCCTCGGTCGGTGTGCCAACTCCTCAAACGGGTTCGTCTTCTTCACGGTCGTCTGGATCCCATCTGCCATATCCGACGGGGTTTCGTAGGGTACCAGTGTGCCGAAGCCTACGTGGTCGTCCAACCACTTTCGGTAGGGGGGCGATGACTGGGTCTACTCCGGGACTTTCATCGGCATCTGGGGCTTCTAACTTCGAAGAAGGCTGGCTCGTCAAAGGCGCCTGCACGTCGAAGGCATCCGGTCTGCAGAAGGCCTCGATGTAGGAGTGTTAGAGCATAGCTTCCTAACACTCCGTGGTTCTCCCCATTCTTCTCTTGACTTCAAACCCATGTTGAAGTCAATGGTCTGCAGCTTTCTGTGAATTTGAGTTGGGTCGTGGGTGCGGATTTTAACCACGTTGTCGGGCGCCATGTCACCGCGGGGTAATTAATAGGGGTCTAAACGCCTTCTAATGCCTCCGGGTGCTCTGTAGAGGGCTTCGGAAACGTCGACGAAAGCCCCTCTACTTGAATCCATTTGCGGGGTATGGATTCGTAAATGTTTTCTTCTGGTATCTTGCCTTGAAAAAGGCAAGATATTTCTT